CTTACATGTAATATCATTTGATTCAATAAATAAAGCTTTAGCTAATAATCTCCCCCAACGAAAACTGAAGTCCTGAATGCAGTCAAGCTTCTGAAAGCTGGAAAAGCAGCTGGACCAGATGGAATACCCCCGGAAGCACTGAAAGCGGACCCAGAGACGACAGCAGATATGCTGACTCCATTATTGCAAAAGGTCTGGAAGGAGGGAAAGGTGCCTACTGACTAGAGAAAAGGTTACCTAGTGAAACTACCAAAGAAGGGCGACCTAGGACTCTGCAAGAACTGGCGAGGAATCATGCTCCTGTTGACGCCAAGTAAAATCCTGAGTCGCATCATCCTGGAGAGAATAAAGGACGCACTGGATACAGAACTCCGACCAGAACAAGCTGGATTCAGGAAAGGTAATTCATGTTCTGACCAAATTGCAACTCTACGCATCATCATCGAACAAAGCATGGAATGGCAGTCAAATCTCTACCTCAACTTTATCGACTTTGAGAAGGCCTTCGACAGCGTTGACCGCGAAGTAATTTGGAAACTACTCGAGTACTACGGCGTACCCCAAATATTCGTCAACCTTATTCAACAGTTGTACGACAACGGCACACGTCAAGCGATCCACAACGGAAAACTCAGCGAGGCATTTGGAGTAAACACAGGAGTCAGACAAGGGTGCTTATTATCACCAATGATATTCCTAATTGTGGTGGACTGGATTATGCGTCAGACAGTGGGAAACGAGAAGACAGTGATATCCTGGACCAACGTGAAGAACCTAAAAGACCTGGATTTCGCGGACGATTTATGTTTGATGTCACACAAAATCGAAGACTTACAAGCGAAAACCGACAAACTGGTCGAAGAAGCAGCAAAGACAGGACTCCAGGTGAACATAGACAAGACGGAGGTTATGAAAATAACCAACCAACAACAACAACAGCAGCAACATCCAGTGCCAATCACCATCAACGGGAGGGATTTGAAGGAGGTTACTTCTTTCACTTATTTAGGGAGCATTGTCTCAACCACAGGAGGAACGGACGAGGATGTCAAATCGAGAATCGGGAAGGCGAGAAACACATTCATCAACCTGAAACCAATCTGGAAATTTTCGTCACTCAACTCAGCATCAACAACAAAATTCGGATTTTCAATACAAACGTCAAGTCAGTCAGTTCTTCTATACGGATCAGAAACTTGGCCAGTGTGTCACAAAGAATATTTCCAACAGGTTGCAGACCATTATCAACAGCTGTCTTCGTTCTATACTGAAGATCAGATGGCCGGAAAGAATCATCAACAAGAAACTATGGGAACAAACAAAACAAGAACCAATCCCTCAACAAATATGCAGGAGGAAGTGGAGATGGATTGGACACTCGCTGAGGAGGCCGTTGGGTGACATCGCGTGTCAGGCCAACGCTCGAGTGGAACCCGAAAGGGAAGCGGCGAGTGGGACGTCGAAGGGTGACATGGAGGAGATCGTGTGAAGAGTAGTTGAAACAGTATGAAGTAACATGGATGCAGGTGAAAAGTACAGCAGAAGACAGAAGCAAGTGGAAAGGTGCAGTTGAAGCCCTATGTTCCACTAGGAACTCAAGGGAACAATAATAATAATCTCCCTTCTACCATGTTATATTACATTTTAAGACTATCATCTTGTCCTATCCTGTTGTATGGCTGTGCATGTAGTGATATGGTCGAAACATATTTCAGATTTCCTACCTTAATAGAGTCAACTAATCTAGATTCTGTTAGGTTTTTGTGCTCCATTAGTCTGACTGACCGCGTTGTACTAATTTCACCTATGTATTTGACCACACAACCATTGCAGGTTATTAGATGAACTAAATTATTTTGTTTGATTGGCTCTAAGCTATTCGTTAACCGAAGTGATTTGTTTCCAAGTGAGCTTGTGGTCTTAACATAAATATTAATGAGGATTGTCTCCTGTTAAGATCTGTTAAACCACCGTCATTACACTGGATGTGAATAAACTATATAAAGAGTTTAAAAAGATCTTTCTCAAGGGGAACTGAAGCCGTTATTTAGTAAATGAGAAATAACAAAAAAGACCAACGGTGAGTTCCCCAGTGAGTTGAGCATAAATTTCCCACTTAATATCTCTGCAAACATCCTAGCGCTTTTTTTCGTTTTTTATCTGTATCATTTATTTCTTCTTAACTTCAGTGATATACAAACTACTTCACTGCAGTTGACATACACAGACTCATGACATTGATTACTCAGTATTGACTAGTGCACCCACTACAATCATACCGCCAATGGTCATTAGTCAACCTGAATAGCAGCTCAATGGTGAAGTCTTCAACTGCACCGCTGCAGCGAGTTTCAATCCCCTTCGAGGTTGAAGATGCGCCTTGCTGATGACTGACTGGTTTCAACATAGAAATTTGCACAGATGTGCAGCAGTTCCAGTTGCCACACTCCACTCAATGTAACAAACAAGGCGAGAGAAGAGAGTAAAGAGAGATTCAAAACAGGGAGATAATAAAGAGAAGTTTGAGTGAGGGAAAAAGAATAGCAGTATGGAAGAACGACAGAACTTTATTGGATATTGTAAATCACAAGGAGTGGATGCATCTGCACCACCCATTGAGAACGATTTCGAGCCACATCACCAATTGTCTTAATTGGTTCTTAACTTCCCGAAGACCCCAACCAGTCAATCAGGAAGTCTACACCTCCCTACATGACTGACTGATTGGCTTAAACTAAATGTTATGAATTTCATTGACTAGTGAAGCCATGTTTTGGTCTGACCATCACTAGCCTTCCCTTTTGCAACCTGATCCATCCTATGTCAGCTAACATTGCCTGTTGTTGAGGAAGGCGAACGATGGCTAGGCTAGGCATGCGTAACACATTTCCTAACCATTTCAATCGATGTAACTTCACAACCTCGACGATTGATTTTCCCTCCCACCTACCTAGCACTCACCTTGTTGACCGGGTGAGGGTCTTGTATGCGTGTCTCCGAAACACAACATACATCTATGGCTTGAGATGCCAGAGTTCTTCCTAGTGATGCTTGTTGTCCGATTTGGCAGAGGGTCTTGACGTTAAATGCTCCTATATGAAGTCAGAGACGTGGCTTTAAGAGGCTATCGGGGGTGTTTCTATAGCTCTCACCGTTGTTTGTGGTCACAGAGTGAAGTGAAGATGACTCACTAGCCTGCAGAATAGTACTAACTGTAGTAGAGAAGCAAGATGAGGAAGGTGATGTGAGTAAAGGAGAATGATGCTCAGGAAGGCTTCGTGTGCTTTTGGAAGTGAGTGGGAGGTTGTTACTTCCTGGCTGCCCACACCGTGGAAGTTGATTGACTCTTCGGGTACCTGAAACAGAAAGAGGATTAGTGTTGCGTGACCGTAGAGCCCAGGGGACAACTGCTTGAGGCCGGTCACACACGGCCTGTATGAACTGGTTTCTGGGATTGGCTCCGTATTAGTAAACTTACCGCCGGTTACGGACCACCATAGAGTAAGTCGGGGTGTACAATTTTCGGAGTCGACCTTTTCGAACTCCCTCTCTCAGGAGTGGAGAGATAGCATAGCTGGTATGCTGGTCATCTGAGGGAAACACGTTATTGCTGTTACACCCCTGTTCCCCAGCAGTACGACTTCGCCCTCAGACCCCCAGCATAGTGTAGGAAAGATTCTTACACAATGCCGGTAACTGCTTTTAGTCTAATCGCTATCCTAGCAACCTTCCTGGCATAATAGGACCTGCAGGAACATTGGTTCCAGCCAGTGTAGTTTGTTGGGTCAAGCCCGACCACCACGTCAAGGTAGCAGCTATCGGTCGAGACCTAGCTCTCAACCGAAACCTAACCTCAATATTGTTCACCCTATTACACCTACCACTTCACACGGGAGATAGAACACATGCAGGTATGATCAAAGACAGCCAGCTAGCCAGGCTTTTCATGTCTCCCGCTCTCAATGGCCAGGTCTCACTCATAGCCATAAAGAAGGACGGAGAGGACTGCTTAGTACACACGCCCTTTGTTCTACAGCCAGTGGATACCACGTCTACGCCAAAGACGGTGTAAACTGGCATCCATACTGAGATTTCGTCAGCGATCAACCCGTTGGGCTGTCTGATGCAACTTCCCAAATAAGTCAAGCAATCAACATGCTCTACCACTTCACTCCTTATTTCTATGCTATGAGTCAATGTAGTCTAGTCCTGTAATATAATATAACATTTGATAGCAGGAGCGAAATACATGCCAAACATTGGAAGATTGCAGCTCAAGGTGTTCAGAAGACTCTGCATTATGTCAGCGTCTTCACCATCTTGGAGGACCACATCATCTGCATATTCTAGGTCAACGAGATTATTAGCTGAGGGTAACAAATAAATCCCTGAGTCGGTGAAGTCCATTAGTACATCTGTGGTGAAATTAAATAGAAATGGAGATAGTGGGCGTCTCTAACAGACACCGCTGGTTGTCACCACTTCAGATGACAACTCGCCATAGACTCTCACCTGGCTGCATAAATTCGAGTAGACTACCTTTATCAGTGCAATGTATTTTCTCGGCATTCCCTTCCCAGCTAAACATCGCCATAGTACCTCTCAGTCGACAGAATCGAATGCCGCCTTTAGGTCAACAAATATAACGATGGTTGGACGCCGTCGGCAAGTGTGCCTATGTTCCAGAATCTGTCGAAGGGTGAAGATATGATCAATACACTCTCCACATAGTCTAAAGCCTGCCTGGTTCTCTAGTGTTTGCGCTTTCCGAGTACTACTTAGTCTACGCATTATTAGATCAGGTTAGAAAAGAGCTAATGGTAGTCATACTATAAATCACAAAAGCATTTCAACACCTAATGCACAAAAATATGTGAACGCAGGAAAAATTACAATATATACGTACAAATATCATTGATTAATATTACACAACTAACTATTGTACATCTGTACATAAATGAAAATGGTTTAATACAATGTCTTTTTTTTATATAGGTCTCTTAACGTGGCCATGGATCTACTCTATTTGTACGTACTACAAGTGAAATTTTTCTAGCCATTTCCGAATCATATATACGTTTACAACGTTCATACATTATTCTTCGTCTCCATACTGTAGGTCTTTCATAATATTCTTGAGCTCTGATTGTATTCTTAACTTTATCCAAAGTCAGTATTCTGAAAGAAAGAAAGAAAAAAAAAACAACCGTGGATGATAAATAAGAATCTAATTGATGAGTTGAGTACATGTAAAAACAAAGAAAGAAAAACACACAGTTTTGTTCAATGAAGAAATATTCATTTCCGATAACTCCATTTTCAAGCAATTGTACAGTCACATTTATACTACTCAACCTTATTCAACAGCTATATGACAATGACTGACTGACTGGTTTCTACGTAGAACTTTGCACTGATGTGAAGCAGTTCGAGTCGCCGCATTGCATGTAGCACACACAGCAAGAGAAAGTAAAAGCAAGTGCAAAACAGAGACAGTAAACATAGATGTGAGGCAAACAGAATAGTAATATCGAAGGACAATATAGTTTTATTGGAAATTATAAGTCACAAGGAGTCTGTCTGACTGGATTCACCATAGAACTTGGCACCGAAGTGCAGCAGTTCAAGTTGCCACGTTCCAAATAGCACACAAAGGTAGACAAGAAGATGAGTGTAGAGAATCAATAGAGTTTTGACAAGTATAAGAGTGAAACAGAATGAGTAATGGTAGAAAGGAATATGAAAGATTACAGAGACTGAATACATCTGCGCCATTGACAACGATTTTGAGCCATGTCACCTATTGTCTCCAGCCACTGATTCTTAGAGTCCCGAGGGCCCCAAATCGGAAGTCTGCATCTCCCTACCTGACTCAGTTTAACTGTCAATTTGAATTTTGAATTTACTTCGGCTATCTCCTACGGGACGATGAGCCGGCTTCATGAACATCTCGAATCACCGCTGCCCAGGAGCGGCGATCTGACGCAACGTTTTGCGACAGGGTTATCCAATTAAGAGAGTTCATTAAGTTTCATGGGAATTTGGTACGAGTGATGTCCCCAGAATCGCTCGGCCTTTCGTTTGAGAGTGCAGCTCTAGCCTTTACACAACCAAGTGTGACCTACAAGGCAGTAGGAGTGGAGTAGGGAGTCCACTATCCATTGGCAGCCGGTGACCGGAGTTCGGTTCATACGCCTTTTTGAATGGGACCAGACATCCAGGACATCCAACAAGCCCTTTGTCCATACGTCTACCGGTGAGCTCCAGTGAGCTTCATACGCCAGTCGTTGGAGGTTTGGAATCAGGGTTTAGCCATCTCCCCTAGACTGTCATCCAATGGACTGTCAAGGAGTTCATGGATTGATGAGGCCATGTTTTTGTTTGGCCACCACTTACTCTTTTCTAACCTGCACCTATATCAGCTAGTATTGCCCGTCGGGAGAGGTGATGGTTAGGCATGCGCAGCACGTGACCTAGCCATCTCAATCTATGTAATTTTATGGCCTCATCGATTGATTTTCCCTCTTTGCCCAACACTCTACGCCTGACGTCAACATTACTTACCTTTTTATACCACCTAACGTGAGAAAGAGATCGTAGACATCTATGATCAAAAACAGTCAACCTTTTCATGTCTTCAACTCGTATTGGCCATGTTTCAGAGCCATAGAGAAGGACGGAGAGAACTGCTGAGCAGTACACACGTCCCTTGGTTGATAGCCGGATGTCACGCCTACGCCAGAGATGGCGTAAGTTAGCGAAAGCAGCTCGAGCTTTTTGGATCCGTGCTGAGATTTCGTCGCCAATCAGTCCGTTGGTGCTGATACAACTTCCCAAATAGGTGAAGTGGTCAACATGTCACAAGGAGTGGACGCATCTGAGCCATCACTCAGAACGATTTTCAGCCATATCACCAATTGTCTCCAGCCTCCACTGGTTTTTACCGTCCCGAGGACCCCGACCAGTCAGGAAGTCTACACCTTCCTACGTGGCTGAAACTAACTGTTGTGGATTTCATTGACTGATGAAGCCATGTTTTGGTTCGACCACCACGCTATGTGGCAATGCCAAGTGTCAAGTGATCCACAAAAGAAAAGTCAGTGAAGCCTTCAAAGTGAAAACAAGAGTAAAACAAGGCTGCCTGACTGTTATCACCGATGATATTCTTAATTGGGGGGGACTGGATTATAAGGAAGACTGTGCACACAAACTAGAGAACTTACAGATGAAAACCAACAAACTGGCTGGAGAAGCATGCAGCGAAGACAGAAATTCAAGTGAATATAGAGAAGACGGAGGTGATGAAGATGACCAACAAACAACAACAAGGACTAATCACTACCAAAAGAATACATCTGAAACAGGTTACTTCCTTCACCTATCAAAGACGCATAGTTCCAACTACAGGTGACAGCACAGATGAGGATGTGAAAACCAGAATCGGTAAGGCAAGAAACACCTTCATCACTCTGAAATCAGTTTGGAAATCTTTTGAATTCAGCATGAAGAAGTGAATCCAGTTATTCTCTATGGGTCTGAAACTTGACGGGGGCGTGATGGAAAGGATTTCCAAACAGCTGCTGTAGACTTTCACCAAATGGCTAGCAAGAATTAGCAACAAGAAACTACTGTTCAACAGATATTCATCAGAAAATGGAGATTGATTGGACATACGCTGAGAAGATCGTTGGATAACAACGTGTGCCCGGCCATCGGTCGTGTGAAACTCGAGTGGGGTGTTGGTTTGAGGGTGATATGGACGTCATGCAAAGAGGAGATGAGGGACTTCGGGCAAAAGTGGGACCGGCTAAAGAAGACTGCAGAGAATAAGACAGTGGAGAAGTGTTGTTGAAACCTTATGTTCCACTCAGAACCCAAGGGAACTATCATAATAATAGAATAATAAACGCCATTAGGTGTTATCAAAAATTACTCAGTCAAGATACTCATAGGGTAAGAATATAGATAATCACTTTCAAGAGAGAGATTAATTGGAAGAATTGCAACATTGTAAAAGGTCCGTCTAATGAAAGCCAACTTTTGTAGGGCAACATACTAGCCTCAACAGTGACACCTCAAGGTAGAGGGAGAAACCTTGTCCATTTTCCATGTTTCGGAGTCCTGAGAATCTGCTCTAAAAACACGGTTGACAAAGAAACTGAAAGCCTTCGTACAACTATCTCAAATAAGGATTATTCTAGAGGGTTTATTGGTAGAAATATGAAGGAAAATTTGGAAACGATATGTACTGGCTGTAAACTTTACTCTTTACTTAAATTAGGACATATGTGAATCGAATATAAACTTACTTGGATAGTGCTTTATATGCAGCATTATAGTCATCATTTTTCACAACAACGGTCTTCTTCAGAAATCGAAAGTTTTTAAAGAATACATCAACTGGTAGTGTTGATCTAGACATTTCAACATCAGTTAATGTTATGTTATTGATAACTCTAAAAACACCTTCACCTTCAAAAGAAGAAAGAACACACAATGACTAAACAACCGATACTTGTACGTTTTAGGAAACAAGTAAGAATTACAGAAAAAGCCCACGAGTTAAGAAATGTATCATACCAACGCACAAGTGCGAGTATTAAGAAAAAGTTAGAATGTAGGGTTCTGAATTGTTGTCTTATGTTAGATTGATTCACCAATTCAGATAATTGATCCGTTAAATGCATTACATCACGTCCATAACATTCAGAATCACAATAAATCAACAAATTTGAAGTTTTAAATTCACTTATTCCAGACAATTTAATAAACACAATTGCTATTCTGTAAGGCAAATAAGATGAAGATAAACAATAGTAGCCATTAAATTAGTCTGAGTTTGATACCACACCCAACTTATACTCGTAACCTATAGGGTTATAACCCTAAATCCTTACCTTTAACACTAACTCCCGACGTCTGTAAAACCACTAACATTGCAGTGAATGCACATGACTGTTCATTCAATGTCATTCGATGACTGGAAATTGCATCATATAACTATCTAAGCAGTGAAATTTACAATTTATCAGCAAACTAAGGGGTTTTCAAAAGTGTTTCATTCCAGCTACTCTTGTAAGTTAAAATTACAGTGGATGCTTTAAAAATTATAACATAGGTTTACTGCCTACGACATAGAAGAAAAAAGACAGTAAACTCCACCACTATATAGTGAATTTGTTATTTTCTAAAGCATTGCACTAACAATAAACAAAATCCCGCCAAGGTCATTGGCTCGATCCAATATCCAATATCTTTTTACGAGCTAGTATAAACCAATTTGATTTCTTTGCGCTCGCCTCTTGATTGTAAGGTAGAGGTTCCTGATCTTTGGTAAACGTCTGTGTAGCTCGTCCCGCCACTCGACTGTCGTAGCTTTGGTTGACTCCAACAGGAGTAGTGCTGGGATTAATTATATGGCGTCTGTAGTATGAAGTGTGTTAAGACTGTTACTACTGTGAATGGAGTTGATCCTTTCACCAGTTAGTCTTTCGGTATCGTCGTCAATGGAAAAGAGATAATAATAATAATAGATATAATTAGTAAAGGTATTCAGACTAACAGACAGAGAAAAAAAAATAAGAAAACGTAACAACAGTCAGTCAACCGGTATACATATATATATATAATATATACCAGTAATAATGATAATAATAATAATAACAATAATAATAATAAGTGTAGTTAAAGCTGTCAGGAGAGTAAGACTGAAGGGAATGTGAAGAAGTAAAACGACCAGTTTAATTGTCTATCTTTGAATGGTATATGCGATTTTAAGGGGATAGGCCATTTGGATACAGTCCTTGTGTCACTGCAAGGTTGTCCAGCCTTCGCTTAAAGGCGTCCACAGATGGTGCCATAGCTACATCTGCCGGTAAGGAATTCCAGGGACGGCAAACCCGCAGGGAAAAGAAGTGGGAGCGCACCCGGGTCCTTGCCCTCTGATGAGCTATCCTTCTGGGATTTCCACGAGGGAGCCTATACCTACTCAATGGCAGAACACCTTTGTTCGGGTGATTCTGATCATTTGTTATTTTGTAGGCAGTAATTAAATCCCCCCTCAGGCGACGGTAACTGAGTGTGAATAGGCCTAATTTCTTCAGCCTTTCGTCATATGGTTTATTTCGGAGTCCAACCACTCCTTTTGTTGCCCGTCGTTGGGCTCTTTCCAAGAGGTTGGCGTCTCTTTTAAGCAGTGGGGGTGCAATGATATTATGCACTTCAAGATGCGGTCTGACGTATGTTTTATACAACCTTAGAAAGAGCTCAGGAGTGAGTGCACCTAATTGTCTATGTGTAAAGTGTATGACCGCATATGCCCTCGCTACATCCCCCGTGTAATTCACGCTTGTGTCCATTTTCTCCGTTAGAACTAGACCTAAGTCACGTTCCGACGTTGAGCAGGACAAGCTTTCATTGCACAGGGTGTAACTTGCATTCTGCAGTCTACAGGTGCGTAACTTCACTACTTTGCACTTTTTCAAGTTGAAAGTCATTCCACTGGTTACCGCCCAGTCTTCCAGAAGCCTTAGATCTGCCTGCAGCCTATCTGAGTCCTCCGGACACTTTACCGCCCTCCATATCTTTACGTCATCAGCGTATAGAAGAGTCGGGCAGTTTAGACGGCATGGTAAATCATTGATAAAAATCAAGAACATCAGTGGTCCCAGGATAGAACCCTGCGACACTCCTGATGACGAGCTGTGCCAAGATGATCGGACTCGGTTGACCTTGGTGCAAAATTGCCTTTCAGTTAGGTAGTCCTTCAACCATGACAGAAGTGGTTTACCTAGACCTACCTGGCTTATTTTGTGTAGGAGAAGGTCATGGTGAACAGTGTCAAATGCCTTCTCAAAGTCTAGAAAGATCACATGGACAGGAACATTCATATCCCAGCATGATGTCCAATCGTCCCAAGCTGATAATAAGTTAGTGACGCAGGATCTTCCTTTCCTGAAACCGTGTTGGGCTTCATGGAGTATTTTAGACCTATCCAGATATTCCCTGATGTGATCATCAATAATACTTTCCAGTACTTTCGATACCACTGGGAGTAGAGCTACTGGTCTATAACTGGTGGGATTTTGCCTATCCCCACCCTTGAAGATCGGAGAAAGGATGCTTCTTTTCCATTCCTTTGGCAGTTTCCCCGATTCCATGGAGTGTTGGAACAAGTCGCATAAAGGCCTACAGAGAGCTTCGGCGCACTGTTTCAGAACAGATGGCCTGATGTCATCACAACCTGGGGACTTCCCAGGTATAAGTCGCTGCAGCTTTCTCAGTACTATTGCAGGGTTTATTTGAGGGGTGGCTATTTGGTCTTCCTCCTGTGAAATAGTCATGCCACCATTTTGGTTCGTAACGGTAATACCCACATTGCTGTTTAGCTGTTTGGCGAAGGCTAAACTGAATGTTTCAGCCATCTCCAGACTAGTGAGATATTGACCGTTTTGGCCTACTAAGGCGCAAGCCCCTTGGTTGGTTGGTTTCCTTTCCGACATGAATCGGTACAAATTCTTCGGGTTTGCCAGGAGTTTTTTAGCAAGGTTAGCCTGGAATGACCTTCTGTCCCTCCTGACTCTTGCATTGCACCGGTTCCTGAGTTCCAGGTATGCATCATGGTCGATCTGGCTTCCAGATACGCGCCACGTAAACCAAGCCTTCCTCTTTGCTTGCAGAATACGCTGCGTGCCTCTCTTTAACCATGATGATTTTCTTTTTGGCTGTGCTGTGACTAAAGGGACGGTATCCGAGATCGCTGTATGAATAATCTTTTTTACCGCTTCCCAGTGTTCATCCACAGACAGCTCATCCCATGCTAAGGGCCAGTCTGCATCGAACAAGAGCCTCCGCATTTCAGCGTAGTCAGCCTTGCTGTAACACAGACATGGTTGCGTAGCGTCCCACTGCAAGTGCTCACGGAGAACGAGGTCGAAACCTATGACTGCATGGTCACTACTTCCTAGAGGAGTCATGACCTGGACCTTTTCGACGAGTAGTTGGTCACTAGTTAGAATGTAGTCTAGTTTTGATGACTTTCCACTAGGGCCCCACCTAGTGTCGTCTCCAACATTCTCAGTCAGTCCCGTGTCCCGAATAGCTTGCAGTAGATTTCGGCCGAATTTTCCCTTAGCATACCCCGAGCCAAGGTTCAGTGATGGGGCATTGAAATCTCCAGCAATGGTGATTTGGTCATAGCCCAAGTCTCGTATCCCTGTGATAGTGCTGAGCAGTAGCTGATTGTGCTCTGCCCCACAGGTGGGAGATCGGTAGATGCCACCAAGTAAATGCTTGGTGTGGCCTACGGTGAAATGACACCATATGGAGTCTGGGAGTTCAATAAGTGGTGGGTCCGTTGCGCGAACACATTTAAGTTTTTTTTTTTTTTATATGGCAACTCCCCCTCCTTCCTTATTGTCCCTGTCTCTCCTGACCAAAACCATATCACCTATACTGATTTCATTATCGGCGATAGTGGGGGTTAGCCATGTTTCGGTGAGAATGATTATTTTCAGTTGTAGGTGTGCTTGGAGATTTCGGAGTTCACCTATTTTTACTCTCAGCCCCCTCACATTGCTATACAGGCAGCTGACAGTGAGTCTTACAACCTCAGCGTGTTGTGGGGTAGTTGACGTGAAGCTATCTGCTGGTAGGGAACTTAGTGTTGGGACTAATTGGCCAGTTCCGATGGAACCGGCCCATTGTGGTTTTTTCCCTTGGATTTAGGCAGGACACTTGGGTGGCACAGACTGTTATTCTCAGAACTGCATCGCTCGAGTGTCACTGAAGCTTGGGGACGTATTAAAGCCTCAGTTTGCTGCCTCCTTATGGTTCGAGGTCTGCTTTCGCAACATCGGATGTTTCCTCCCAATTTCCCCTTGATCTCATACCACCGTTGAAGTGTTATGGCCAACTGCTCTGGGGAGTTGAATGTGACACTAAGCAGCCTTGGGGAGCTAATCAGTGTGAGATGAGCGGGGCGAGGTAGTCGGTAAACGGAGATGGCTCCAGAAGCGCCAAGGGCCATCTGAGACGACAGCCATCTCCACTGCTGTACGTCATGCATGTGTTTTTCACAGGCAGTGCCCGTTTCCAGCTCCGGGACACCGTGCACTACCATAGAGGTGGAAGGCAAAAGTTCCGGTGACTCCCTTGCCATTTGTCTGACAGTCCATGGTCTGTCTTGTCTCACCCTTATGTTAGAGCTTCTGTCGATGGCTAGTACCTGAGCCATCAATAGTACCTTTTCGGCCTCTTCGGCAGAGTCCAGTGTAACCCGTAATGGGGGTGGCTTACCTTGAGGTGTGTGGACACCCCTGTACAGCCTGCACAATTTCACTGAACTAATATTCAGACCTAGTTTATTGCACAGGTTGGACCACTGTTCCTGATCAAACAGGGCCCGCTGTTCAAGCAAGCTGTCCTTGCTCACAGGTACGTTAAAGAGGATGAGCGAATTAGACCGATTAACCTCAGACTTAGGTTTGGCCTTTGGCTTCTCATATTCCTTTGCAGCATCAGCAACTTTAGGCTTCATCGGGTTCTGACCAGCCTTTATTGTGTTGCCAAGCTTGCTTGTGGATGCAAGTGGTGCTTCTCTAACTCTATCTTTCCTTGATTTTTTAGGTCCAGCCTTATGAATCTTCACCTTGTGAAAATTGGCATTTTCGGTCAGTAGGACAGGAGTGTCCTTCTTACTGTCTGTGCCAAGTTTTGGCAATGTGACGTTAGCAGGTGGGGAGCTACATAAGACCGTGTTGGGACACAAGGGCGGCGTGTTGTTTCTGCTAACCGCAGACACGCTCTGTGTGACTACACCAGGGCGACAGAGTGGACAGATGTACCAAAACCACGGGCATGGGTTATTTCTCATAAACTCGTAGTATGATTTCGGTACCTCTTTGTCGCAACGGCAGTGCACCCACCGTTTGCAAAAATTGCATTCGAAAGCTGAGTCAGCTTTAGAAACAATG